GGTTGTTGGTGTCATGTGGGAGGGGCCCCACAAGGTGTCTTTGCCGGGCCGGAGGGGGGCGGTGTTGGAGCCTGGCTACCCCACCAGCCCGATTAAATTAGTGCCCAGCCCTCACTGTCATTTTGTTGTGTTTCATTATGTTTCTAACTCCTATCTCTACCTGACGTTAGTTTATTTCTTTATTGTAAAATAACATTTCCCCGCTAGGCAGCAAGCTCTGTGAGGTCAGAGACCTCCTCAGACCTGCTCGCTGTGGTCTCCTCCAGAATTAAGAGCATCCTCTGGCACATAGTAGGTGCCCAGTAAATACTGGTTGAAGAAAAGAACGAAGGGCCAGGCCCAGTGCCGGGTGCGGGGGAACAGATCGGTATCTCTGTGGTCAGCTTGCAGCCTTATCTCGAAGGCCTGAGACCAGATGGGGCTCTTTGCGGTGCATTTCCAGCTCTCTGAACGATTGCAACTTGAGCTGATTTAGTAGCTTCACTCTCTTCGAGCCCGGAGGAACACACACACCCTGGGCCCCGGGAGTGACCAAAACGTGCCCCTGCCCTCACTTCAGAGTGATCTGGGGAGCTAGTCAGCAGCTCTCCGCCTCCCACCAGGACTCCTCAAGTGGAAGCTTCCTCCCCCAATACAGGGATGGTTTGGATGCTGGGCATCCCCCCCAAATGACAAAGAACCATTACACCCACTTACCCATACCCCATACCCCATTACACCCATACCCACTTAACCCCAGTGACCAGAATTGCTTCAAATTCTGGCACTCACACTTCTTCATAAGGCCAGTGGGGAGCCCCTGGTCTGGCCCCATGCTCCTCTCTACATCCTTGTTTCTGTGCTAAGCTACTCATTTCCCCTGATGGTCCCTTGCCCGCTGAGGAAAGTCTTGCTCAGAGTTCTGCAATAATACAGCTCCTCAATCCCTCGCCTGCAGTTCCAAAATCCACAAAGCTCTGCCCACTGCAAGGTTTTTCGTTAAGTTTGCAGGATCCACCCCTGCAGCCAAGAACCCACTATGTTGAGCAAAGCTGGGCTCATTGACTTGTTGGCACGTGGTGGTGTGGGAGGGACCCCCGCCCTCAATAGTATGACACCTGGTGCTGGCCAGGTGAGATGGACAGCAGTTATTAGTCACATGGACTCACGGCTGGGGGGGGAAGGAGGACACCACTCACCACGTGGGGCCACTTGGGCTTGCAGTCAGCAACAGAGTGAACCAGCAAGAGCTGTGGGCTGCCCTTTATAATAATGGGATGGGGTGCCTCCTGGTTCCTGCAGGAGGATGTGATTGGCTTGCAAGCTGGCAGGAAAACCGAAGCCCTCCCAAACTGAGGACAGGGTGGAGTGTGGCTGGTCTGGCTGGCAGAAGAACTGGCTGGGTGGGGAGCTTTTTCCAACGATGGTGGCAGCTGTTGGGGTGGGGGGGTGGGAGGGGTCACATATGATGAGTACAGGGGACTCAGAAGCCCCCAGAGGCCCAAAGATGTCAGGGCAGCACTTGAATTGAGGAACCCACAGGCATGTTGGTGGGGGGTTAAGTTAGAAGAGCTTACAGTATTGGGGTCCGTGTTAGGTAATGGGGGAGTGTTTTGGATTGGCGCGGTTGGGAAGCAGAGGTAATTCTGTGATCAGGTCTCTCAAGCAGTCTCATCTAGAAGGCAAGAGGAATGAAGGAGCACTAATGCTCTGTGGGTCAAGAAGCCACGGTCACTCATATTAGCCAGGATAGGGGGCTGTCTGGTCATGTTTGTGGTCTGGACAATGTTCTTGTTTTTGAGTTCAGACATGATTGCAGCTGGTCTTGTTTTGGGTCGGCCCATCATGGGGGCAGAGCCGCCCCGTCAGGGGCTGGTGTTCTGTGAGGTTGTTGGTGTCCAGTGGAGCATACCAAGGCCCTCCCAGCAGCCCCAGGGCCCATAGCTCCAGGCCAGTTCCCCATTCAGGGGCTCCTTTTCTCTCCCTCCACTCCCCGTGTAGCCAGAGGCATCCACAGTTGGCCCTCAGAAGCTTGGTCTCTAGTATCCAGAGCTTTGCCATGGCCAACTGTTGCTGGTCAGGAGCTGGTTCAGAGAACATCACCGAAGCTGGGCTCCGGTTACACCCTCCCTCCCGCCGTCCTGCAGAGTGAGATGGTCCGGCCTCTCACCGGTCACTGGACCGTTGCTGCACAGAATGCATCAGCTGCCTGCCACACAGGTCATTATCAGAAACAAACCTGGCTCCTGGCTCTGGTTCCAGATCCTGAAGACTGCAGCCTCGATTGCCAAACCCAGGCTGTGAAAACCTGCCCCAGAGTCCAGCTGGCTTTCCCTAGAGAGCCCGGTGGCTTTTTCTTTTTAAAGCCTAGTCACAAACTGTTCTACTTGACCCATTGCATTCCACTTGACCCACCCATGTAGCATTTACATAGGTGCAACAAGAATGTCTGTCTGAGCATCAACTCACCCTGGGTTGACAAGAAGAAACTCAGGGCTTCATGATCCGCTCATGAAGGTACACTCCACCTGGTTCGCTGGGATGGCGGTTGTGTCGTTTATGACATCTGCTAGGCTCAGAGACAAGTTTGGGAGGGGAAAGGTCATCCGTCCAAGTTACCCCTGGTGGAGTGTGCTTGAAGAGAGAGTGGCCGTCCCTCTGGGTGCTCCCCCGGGTAGCCTGCTTGCATCTTTTCCAAGGTTTCTGGGTGTTCTTTTCAGGGAAACGTGACTCACTGGAGGGGTGGTCATCATTTTAAACATCTGAAAATCTCAAACAACCATCCTGATTGCCCAGGATAAATGAGTGTATGGCAGGGGGCTATAAGCCTGATGTCTGATAGCTACATAGCAAGGAGAATCCAACACCCACCACCAGCTGTAATGACAAAGACGGGCAATCACAAGTGTTGATGATGATGGAGAGAAATCGGAACCCCCACAGCTGGGGGTGGGAAGGTAAAATACTGTAGCCACTGTGGAACAGTCTGGCAGTTCCTCAAAGTGTTAACACAGACTCACCGTCTGACCCAGCGGCTCGGCCCCTAAGCCATCGACACCAAGTAACTGAAGACTTGTACAGTATCATTCGTAGCAGCATTATCCACAATAGTGAAGAGGTAGAATTGGCCCAAATATCCATCCGAGGATGGACAGATTAAAAACTGGTCCATCCATACGGTGGAATATGATTCAACCGTGAAAAGGAATGACACCTGCTACAATGTACTACAAAGTATTGATACCTGCCACAATGTGGATGAACCTTGAAACCATGAGGCTCGGTGAAAGAAACCAGTTACAAAAGGCCACACATGATATGATTTCATTTATACAAATGTCCAGAATAGGCAAATCTGCAGACAGAATGTAGGTTAATGAATGCCAGGCACTGGAGGGTGGGGAGTGCGTGCTAATGGGCACGGCGTTCTGGTTAGAGTGATGGGCTGACGTTGATTGCAGTGAGGGCTGCAAAACTCTGTGACATACTACAAGTTACTGGATTGTATACTTTAAATAGGTGGATTGTATGGTATGGGAATTATATCTCAATAAAGCTGTTACCAAAAACAACAACAAAAAAAGGAGTATCCAAGTGGGACCCAGACTGAACTGGGGAGGAGTGGGTCTTTGTGTGTTTTCTTGTTGTTGTTGTTGTCATTTTATTTATTATTATTATTGCCTCTTGAGGTGGACAAATTCCTTTAATGTAATTAAGCAATTCTTTCAAAGCAGGCTGGTGTGTCTGGAGATTACTGGCCACGGTAGCATGGAGAGTTCGACATGAGTGCCCACTGTTCCTGAAGAACTAGCTTTTGTGGATAGACTAGTAATGGCCTCAGCAGAAGCATTTGCTGATGTGAGGTCAAGAACATGTAATTAGGGGCGCCTGGGTGGCTCAATTGTTGGGCATCTGCCTTCGGCTTAGGTCATGATCCCAGGATCCTGGGATCGACCCTAGCATCGGGCTTCCTGCTCAGCGGGAAGCCTGCTTCTCCTTCTCCCACTCCCCCTGCTTGTGTTCCCTCTCTCACTGTCTCTCTCTGTCAAGTAAATAAATAAAATCTCAAAAAAAAAAAAAAAAAGAACATGTAATTAGCAAACAACATCCCTGAAAATACACTTCCATTGAATTCATATTCATATTCATATTCAGGGCTCTTTCTCTGATGGCCACGATCATTGGCAGGAGTGGGATATCAGGTCAGTTCTGGGGGAAAGTAATTATTTTGAGTCATAGTGGCCTGGCCCTTCACATGTATTATTTCTATGTACACACACGCACATGCACACGCACGCACTGCCCTCCCGGCGGCAACCTCACATGGAAGGTCTTATTTCCAATTTAGCCAGCAGGGAAGCTGAGACTCAGAGAGGTTAAGTCATTTGCACAAGGTCACACAGCTGTTGATAAAGTCATGCACCCATCTCCATAAACCCAGAGTGGACAGGTGCTCCACTTTCTATGGGGAAGCTGGGGGAGATTGCCCCTTAGCCAATGACACCCCCGAGCAGGACTCCTGCCACGCGCTGTATATAAGCAGTGTGTATCATGCCCAGAACAGTGGGGTGGGCCAGGAGTCGGGGCTCCAGGGGTTAAGCCAAGGACCTTCCCTGCAGACTTCCGTCGGAGACCAGGACGAGCAGGCTGCCGTTTTCTTGTCCAAGAATTGACACAAGTGGGGCCTGACCACATAGGGCCCCATGTGGTTTCCAGGTCCTGTGGCAGCTGGCTCACAGATACGTCCTCGGGGCACTGACGTGTTAGCGAGCCCTGGCCCTAGGGGGAAGCAGAGCAGGGTTTGGCACGGGCGTCCTCATTGGTGCCCCTGGGTGGGCAGGGCCATGCAGGGTTCAGACCTGTGGGAAGCCAGCTGCCTCTTACCCTTTTTACCACCAGCCCCACCCCCGCCAGAAACCCAAACACCTGCAGGGCATTTGAAGCACGAAGCTGGTCTCTTTTCTCTGCATCCTCTTTTCTCAAAACCCAGGCTTTCCTAACTCCAAGAACTCTCTGCTGTCCTGATTCTAGAGGCTTCCAAGAAGCGAGCTACTTCCCCATCACCTTCGCTGCATGCTTCTTGGAAGGGGTCATCGGTCTTCCATAACTGAAGGGCTTGAACTGAAAGGCTGACCGTCCATCTGTTCAAACACCCAGCACCTTCTAATTGAGCACCCACCCTGCCCCACTCCGGGCTCTCGGAAGCACGCCCACTCGCCCACGTTCTCTGGTGTCCTAGCAACCAGAAGCTCTCATCTGAACTCCGGCCCGGACAGAGGCCATTTTCTCCCATGACCTGCTGCCTCCCTGGACCTCTGCGGATCTGTCCACACAGCTTGTGGGTTCCCTGAAAGCCACCACTTGTCCCCGAGGACGCCCAGAAGCCCAGCCACACCGAGCCTACCTGCAGGATGAGCTTCTCACTCACGTTCTCCGAGCTGGTCAACATCGCCATCCCGCAGTGCGGGGTGGTGAACTTCAAGGCCCTGCACCTCCTGCTTCAGGGCATCCTGGAGCACATCCACATGGCTGAGCTCAAGAAGGTCCTCTCAGGAGACGAGGACTTTCTTCAGACCTCACCAGTTGTGTTCATGCCCCGGGAAGCAGACGCCCAGCCCGTCCTCAGCCCCATGAAGAGGCTCAGCAATGTCTTTGACCACGTGGTGAGCCGCATCGACAAGATGGAGAGCCAGCTGGCCGTGCTGCAGGACCTGCCCTCCACTTCCCAGCTGCTGGAGGGCAGCCAGGGCAGGGGCCAGCCCGCCCAGGACCTGTGGCACCTGATAAAGCTCCGGAAGATGGTGGAGGGCAACGAAGAAGCCACGGCAAAGGTAAACCACCTGGCCTCCCGAAGCTTCCTGCCCTCCTTGCTCTCCTCCCAGGCATCTTACCCTCTATTCCCTTATGCCCCTTGTGATGGGCTCTCCCCAAACACAGGGGCAGGAATGGGGCTTTGGAGTAAGGCAGAGCCAAAGCTCCAAGCTTGTATCCTTTGTCAAGTGTTGAGGAAAGAAGCCAGACACAAAAGGCCACATATGGTATGATTCCATTTGTATGAAACAGGCAAATCCATAGAGACAGAAAGCAGACTGGTGGTTGCCAGGGGCTGGGGGAGGAGGAGAGGGGTAGGGAAGGATAGCCTAGTGGTTATGAGGTCTCCTTTTGCAGTGATGAAGAGAGTTTGGAAACACAGACCAAAGTCTGCCATTCCCTGGTTCCCTCTTCTCCTCACTGTCCCCTTCACCCTCGAGGCTCTGTTTGGCTCCCTCCCCAGGGAAACCGCTAGAAGGAGTGCTCACCATGCTCCAAGTGAGCCAGAGGCTTATGTCTGTTAGCTCCTTTGATCTTCATAGCACCTCTGTGAGACAGGTGTGATTACGATCCCCAGCTTACAGGTGAGGAATTGAAGCACTGAAAGGTTAACCCACTCAGGGTCACACACTGTCAGAAAATGGAGAGGTGGTGCAAACCTGGGCCAGGAGGGTCGGTGAAAGGCATAGGAATGTAGAGTGCGGAGCGTGCTGTCACTTACCCACCGGAATGGTCGGGCGATGATCATGGTTTCCCCCTCCCAGGATTGCCTAGAGATAATACTAAACAAGATAATGCGTGGGAAGTGCTCAGCACAGAGCTCCAGGTATTCTGGGCATCCAATCAGTGGCCACTGTTAGTATTATCCAGAGACTTGAACTGAGCAGGGAAACTGGGATGACTGGGACCTCAGCAAAGTCAGGCACCAGAGCCCTGAGGGACAGGGAGAGGGTGCGGTCTGGCCAAGGTGGGCTGAGAGGTGAGGCAACATGGACCAATGTTAAATCAGGTGCTCAGTGAAGAAGCCAGACACACAGGACTACATACCGCATGCTTCTGTTTCTATGAAACACCGAGAACAGGCAAATCCGTAGTGAAAGAAAGTAGATTGGCATTTGCCAGGGGCTAGGAGGTGGGGGCAGCGGGAGTGACTGCTGATGGGTACAGGGTTTCTCTTCAGAGTGTTGAAAATGTTCTGAAACTAGATAGTGGTGGCAGTTGCCAACCTTGTGAATGTACCGAATGCCACTGAATTCTTCGTGTTACCACACACACAGCAGATATTGGCAGATTGGATTAAAAGAAAAAAAGGCATGATCTCACTATACCCTCGACAAGAGACATTCTAGATTCAAACACCAATCGGTTGAAAGTAAAAGGATAGAAAAAAGATATGCTGTGCACGCCGCAATCATCAGAGAGCTAGAGTGGCCACGCAGCTCATGTCAGACAAGACAGACTTGAAGACGGGAATTGTTGCTAGAGATAAAGAATGCTGCATGGGTGGCCCAGTTCAGGTTATGGAGGCCTTGGAGGCTAGAAATGTGGACACAGTGTCCGAGCAGCCTTCCCCCCCCCCGCCCCCCCTGCCTGCCTTGATGGGTGGAGACTTCTGGAATGCACAGTACCCAGAGTGACCCAGCCGGCTCGTGAAGGAGGCTGGCAGACAGGCTCGGACATGGGTGTGCAGCCCTCAGAGAACTGTTTGCCCACCTAGGATTAGAGAATGTGCCCCCCCAACTCCAGGCCTGGCTGAGATTGTGGGGAGTTAACCACAATGACCGCCTCCCAGCCCCTCCTCTTCGAGGGGGTTGCCATGGTAGCTGGCTCTGGGATGGTGCAAGCTGCTTAGCTAAGTGTCTGCACCAACCAGCGGGTCAGGCTGGCAGACCAAATGTCATGTCGATGTCCAGGTCACCTCACCTGCTGCTGACCCCCTTCCTCTAGGGCTGGCGTCCTTTACAAACACCTGTCAAGGTGTGAGGGCCCAAAGTGGGGAAAGACTAGCCTGCCAGCCCTAGCACCCACCCCAGACGGGGTGAATGGTGCCCAGAAAACGAGGGCTGACAACAAGGGGGCTCTTGAAAGGTTTGCGGGGCTCCACAGGCATGGTTAGCACACTGCCAGATCTGGAGCTCGGGCACTGCCACAAGCCCTTACTAGACGCTGAGATTGCAGCGTCCCTCACCCTCACCGATAATTCTCTGCGGTGACGACTGTGTTGTGCCCTGGGGGATGTTGGGCAGCATCCCTGGCCTCCACCGTCCAGGTGCCAGGAGCGACCCCTGGTGGTGACAACCAAAACTGCCTGCAGACTTGGCCAAATGCTTGTTGGGGGCCAACTCGCCCCTGTTGAGAACTGCTGACCAAGGAAAACTGGGCTCCCCTTGCTCGCAGTATGTACTTGTCCCCGAAGACCCCTCAGGAGGCTCCGACCCAAGGCTTCCCTAGCCTGCTGGAGCACCAGCCCCACCTGCGGAGCTCTCCCAGAATTGCAGGCTCGCAGGCCCTGCCCAGAACCAGAGTTTGATTGATTGATTTTATTTATTTGAGAGAGAGTGAGCAAAAGAGCATAAGCAGGGGGAGTGGCAGAGGGAGAGGGAGAAGTAGGCTCCCCACTGAGCAGGGAGCCCGAGGAGGGGCTCAATCCCAGGACTCTGAGATCATGAACTGAGCCCAAGGCAGACACTTAACCAACTGAGCCACCCAGCGCCCCCACTCCTGACAAAATTAACAACTCCCAAATAGCCATCCAATAGATTGTGTTGGACTTACCCCAATTTTTTCTAAAACAAGGATGCTATTTTTTTACAGCTTTGTTGAAATATATTCATACATATATTTGTGTGTATACCAGAATATTCATCCATTTAAAGAGTATGGTTCAGGGACGCCTGGCTGACTTAGTCTGTAGAGTGGGTGACTCTTGATCTCAGGGTCATAAGTTCAAGCCCCACATTGGGCATGGAGCCTATTTAAAAAAATTTAAAAAGTGTACAGTTCAAAAAAAAAAGTGTACAGCTTAGGGATTTTAGTATATTCACAGAGTTCTGCAACTATTAAAATCAATTTTAGGACATTTTCAACAGCCCCCCAAAAAACCCTTAACCATTAGCTATCATTCTTCTTCCTGCTCCTCCTTGAGCCCCACTTTTGCACTTACCATGATGTCTTCAAGGTTTATCCATGCTGTCCCATGTATCAGTACTTGACTCTTATCATTGCCAAATGCTATTCCACAGAATGGATAGATTACTTTTGTTTATCAGTTGGTGAACATTTGGCTGTTTCCCCCACTAACAGTAGGCTGTTAGGAGTAGTGGCCCCTATGGACAGTGGGGTACACATTTTCCTGTGGACGTATGTTTTCATTTTTCTGGGGCATATACCTCATGGTGGAATTGCTGGATCACATGATCACTCTGTGTTTCAGGTTTGAGGAACTGCCAGGCTGTTTCCCAAAGTAGCTGCACCATTTTGCTTTCCCACTAGCAGTGGGTGAGGGCTCCAATTTCTCTGCCTCCTCACCAACGCTTCTTAGTTTCTACCTCTTTGATTCTAGCCACCCTCGTGGGTATGAAGTGTACCTTATTGTGGTTTTGATTTGCATTTCCCTGGTGATTAACTGTGTTGAGCATCTTTTCGTGTGCCTACCAGCCATTTGTGTCTTTTCTTCGGAGAAATATCTGTTCAGATTATTTTCCTAGTTGTAATTGGGTTGTCATTCTATTGTTGAGTTGTAAGAGTTCTTTATATATGGGCGCCTGGGTGGCTCAGTCGGTTGAATGGCTGGCTCTTGGTTTTGGCTCAGGTCATGAACTCAGGTCCTGGGATTGAGTCCCGAGTGGGCTCCATGCTCAGAGGGGAGTCTGCTTGAGGATTCTCTCTCTCCCTCTGCCTTCCCCCTGCTCAAACACGCACGTGTGCACACTTTCTCTCTCTCTAAAATAAATAAATGTTAAAAAAAAAGTTACTTATGTATTCTGGATATATGATGCCATGTGTGTGATTTGTAAATTTTTTAAGATTTTATTTATTTATTTGTCAGAGAGGGAGAGAGAGAGAGCACAGCAGGGAGAGCGGCAGGCAGAGGGAGAAGCAGGCTGGAGCCCGATGCGGGGCTCAATCCCAGGATCCTGGGATCATGAACTGAGCCGAAGGCAGACGCTTAACGACTGAGCCACCCAGGCATCCCTTGTAAATGTTTTCTATCATTCTGAATTGTCTTTTCACTCTATTGACAGTGTCCTTTGATATGCAAAGTTTTAAATTTTGCTGAAGTACAGCGTATGCCTCTCTTTATTTTGTCACCTTTTTTGGTGCGGTGTCGCTTATGCTTTTGGTGGCATATCTAAGAAACCACTGCCTGACCAAGGTCACGAAGATTTACTCCTATGTTTCCTTCTACAACACAGGAGTAAATGGTTTATGGTTTATCTCTTACATCTAGGTCTAGGAGCCACTTTCACTTAGTTTTTGTATATGGTGTGAGGTAGGAGTCCAGCTGCATTCATGTGGATTTCCAGCTGTTCAGTACGATTTGTTGAAGACAATTCTTTCCCTATTGATTTGTTTTGGCACTCTTACTGAAAACCAACTGACTGTAGATGTGAGTGTTTCTTTCTTTCTTTCTTTGGTTTTTTTTTAAGATTTTATTTATTTATTTGACAGAGAGAGACAGTGAGAGAGGTCACACAAGCAGGGGGAGTGGGAGAGGGAGAAGCAGGCTTCCTGCGGAGCAGGGAGCCCAATGCGGGGCTCCATCCCAGGACCCTGGGACCATGACCTGAGCCGAAGGCAGGCGCTTGACCGACTGAGCCACCCAGGCGCCCATAAAATTAGTAGCTTTTTAAAAGATTTTTTATTTGTCAGAGAGAGAGAGAGCACAAGCAGGGAAAGCAGTAGGGGGAGGGAGAAGCAGGCTCCCCACTGAGCAAGGAGCCCGGTACGTGACTCGATCCCAGGACCCTGGGACCTGAGCCGAAGGCAGTCGCTTAACGACTGAGCTACCCAGGAGCCC